TTATTATTATTATTATTATTATTATTATGTATGAATCACACAACAACAGTGCCAATGAGCCATTGAAATTTAGGGGGGGAGAGACATCAAATTGAAAAATATTCCTTAACAGATTCAACAGCACACTTTCACGTTGTTGCTGCATTAATTTTTCTGGTTTTAAACTTTTCAATGGTTCATATTACGTTCGTTGATCAAACATTTTTCCGATGCTCATTAAAAATGTATAAAAATTACAATAGCACACTTTGATTTGCAGTAGTTGCGTCATCGCCAATGCTAATAATACACTTATTGTAATGTTTTATTTAAAATGTTTGCACACCAGCAATGTGAAATCATCAACGCGCAATCATACTTATCAACGTACTTGAATTTACATACTAGAATCATACAGTTTGCGTGCAATACACTATTTACAATAGCTTCATGAGTCATGAAATTCACTGTAATCCAGTTTTTTTCGATATGCCAGTAGTATAATGTACATACAGCCATGTGTGGAATTAAAAAAAAAAAAACATTTATTTGTGAAAAATACCAACCCCCGTAGCAGTATCAATCAAGATCCCATTAAAACCCACCAACTAAATAAATGTCTCTATTTTTCTCGACCCGCCTCATCCCCAAAATACAGGAAGCATCGACGTAGTGGCGCAGTCGTGCTCGATGAACGACAACCTGCTGGCCATGCTCCAGGAGCTCCGTCCAGGCGAGTCGGTCCTTCGCAGTCCACTAACATCCGAGCTCCTGTTGCGCCGGCAATCCCACCACCAGCAACAAATGCTCCACCACCACCAGAGCCTCCAGCCTGGCTCTTCGGAAGCCCACTCTGCCGACACGGACGAGGTCTGCGGAGTCCCTGGCTCTGGCTCCAGTCCCAAGCTCAGACTCAAGCTCAACCGGCTCTGGAGCGGCAAGCCTACCACCTCCAAGGCCCAGACCAGCCCTGGCGATGACCAGCAGCAACCACAGCAGCAGAGCACCAACACCATCACCAGTCCCTGCGTCACTCCTGTCGTCTCGGCCGACGTCGAGGAGCGCCACCGTAGACGAGCCTTCGCCCACTACGACTGCCAATCGTTGACCGCGAATTTGGGCTACGCGGCCAAACTCCGGGGCATACTGCTCGCGAGGAGGAGGAACACCGCCACAGGGGCATCGGCCGCCAGTGCGTTCAGAGCTTCCACGCCCGACGAGGCTCCCGAGGAGGATGCCGGTGACGGCAAAGGTACGTACTTTACACCCACACGGAAAGACACGTTATTTATACTGTGTGCACAGACACATGAAATTATGACACGTCTTTGGTTGGATTTGGTCACCAGACAACGAACTCCTGGAGTCGTGCCCGTTTTTCCGCAACGAGACGGGTGGCGAGGGTGAGCGCGAGGTAGGTCTGACGCGCCGGGCCCAGCAGAGCAGCAACGGCTTGCACCGGCCGGCCTTGGCGTACGGCATGAGCGTGCTCGAGCCCCCGGTGGGCGAGACCCTCTGGAAGCACACGTGTCCCCTGCAGAAGCGGCCCCTGCCGATCGAGAGCGTCGACGAGGGCGCCCACTACTACCGGCGCTACTTCCTCGGCCGGGAGCACCAGAATTGGTTCGGCATGGACGACCAGTTGGGCCCCGTTGCCATAAGCATGCGCAAGGACGGTCACCAGTACCGCATGATCGTCAGGACGTCCGAGCTGTTGACCCTGAGGGGCTCCGTGCCCGAGGAAACTCTGCCCGGGGTGAGGCCTCAGCAGGCCAAACTGCCCACCAGAGAGATTTTGGAGCTGGTTGCCCCGGAGGTGCAGATGTGCTGTCTCAGGCTCGGCACGCCCGCGGCCGAGGAACCCGTGGCCAGGCTAGACGAGCAGGGACTGTCCAACAGGTATATGGTCTTTTTTTTTTTCCTCTCTTGTCCCTTGCGGTGGTTAATTCTCGGGTTTTCACTTTACCAGGTACAAAGTTGGTGTGCTCTACTGCAGATCTGGACAGAGAACGGAAGAGGAAATGTACAACAATCAGCACGCCGGTCCGGCTTTCCTGGAATTCTTAGAATCTATAGGTAAACTGCAATTTCCTTGATCAGCCAATAGCTTTTATATTGTATACAACATTGATGAGTGAATACGTATTGTTAACGCGACTGCAGGCCAAAAAATAAGACTGAGAGGCTTCGAGGGTTACAAAGCGGGCCTGGACACGCGTACCGATTCGACGGGTACCCACGCGGTAGCCGCGACTCATCGTGGGGCGGAAGTCACCTTCCACGTCTCAACGATGCTTCCTTTCACACCAAATAATCGCCAACAGCTGCTCAGAAAGCGACACATTGGCAACGACATAGTCACCATTGTCTTCCAGGTAACGCCACGGTTTCTTCTTTTTTTCTATAGCGATTTTCTTTTCTACAATCACCGCGCATCTCGTGAAACGCGTCCTACTTTCCAAGAGGCGTAGAATTATTTGAATTCTAAATTTCACTCGACAAAAACGCTATGTTCACGCACAGGAACCGGGAGCACTGCCCTTCAGCCCGCGAAGAATACGCTCGCAGTTCCAGCACGTGTTTATAATCGTGCGCGCGATCAATCCTTGCACGGAGAACACGCAGTACAGCGTGGCTGTGTCCCGGAGCAAGGACGTGCCGGTGTTTGGGCCACCGGTGCCCGCGGGCGGCGTTTTTCCCAAAGGCAAGCACTTTGCCGACTTCATCCTCGCCAAAGTGATCAACGCCGAGAACGCGGCTCACAGGTCGGAAAAATTCGCGACCATGGCCACGCGCACCAGGCAGGAGTATCTCAAGGACCTCGCGACGAATTATTCTTCCAGCACGCTCGTCGAGACCGGGCAAAAGTTCTGTGAGTGTTTTTGTAATCCACATCGAGTGCAAACAATCAATGAACACTCGGGCTAATTGAATACTCACGTACAACTACTGTTTCTTTTAGCAATGCTGTCGTTCAGTAGTAAGAAAAAACAACCGGTACGACCGCGTTTGTCGTGCGACGCCTCGCAACGCGGTGCCATCTGCTGGCAGGTCATACTCGAGGATTGCAATCAAAACACCGACTGCTACTTCGGGGTGAGCATCGACACCATTGTCCTGATCGAGGAGCACTCGCGGCAAATCGTCTTTGTCGCGCCCTGCATCAGCGTCCTAGGATGGCACGCTCAGACAAACAGGTAATGCATATACAATCCATTGGGTGCTGACTCCATGGAACCGTTTGATTAACTTCTTTTTTTTTTTTTTTTTTCATTTCAATTTTAAGCCTACGGCTCTACTACCACCAAGGCGAATGCATCACCATTCATGTGCGAGGAGACTCAGGGGACCGGGACGAGCTCATGGAGATCGTGGAGCGATTGAGGGCCGTGACTCAGGGAGCCCCGGCGACCGAGCTGTCTCTCAAGCGCAATGCCCTCGGCCAACTGGGCTTCCACGTGCAGCCTGATGGTGTCGTTACCCAGGTAGAGAGCATGGGCTCATCCTGGCAGGCTGGGCTACGCCAGGGCTCGCGACTCGTCGAGATCTGCAAGGTCGCCGTGTCTACACTCAGTCACGACCAGATGGTCGATCTGTTGAAGACCAGCGCCCAGGTCACGGTCACGGTCATACCGCCCACCAACGAAATCACTCCTCGAAGGTATAATATATTTGTTTACTATACACACATGCACTCGCATCTGTCAAAGTGATTATTTAACGTACGTGTTGTTGTGCATTCGAAGGGGCTGCTCGTTGCAAAACTGCCAGTACCTGTCGACGAACTACGAGGGGGACTACGAGAACGTGACGAATCCGGATAACACACCGGGTCAGCAGACGGCCCTGTCCCACCAGAGGAGGTACGAACGCTCGTTTAGTCCGCCGCGCTCCAGCAACAGCTCCGGCTACGGCACGGGCTCGAGCTCGAGGTCGTTCAACGATCCGCGGTTTCCCTTAGAAGGTACCGCGACTAGCAGCAGCAGCGGACACAGTAGCACCGACGATCGATGGTGAGTCTTGCTTGTGTTGTTGTTGAATTACTCTGGCAATTAATTGAAACCGCATATCGTTGAACGACTCAAAAGTTCCAAATTTATTGATCGTGGATTTTGTCTACGTAGGTACGAACTTCTCGAGAACCAGGATCAAGAGGGCAACCATCGAAAGGACGGCACTCCGCCGCCCCTGCCCGCTAGGCAAAGTTATCAGAACAGCACGCCAAATAAAGTGAACAGTTGCACGCCAAAAAAGGACAAAGAGTCTCATTACGCCGTTGGTAATAAGAACTACGACAAAGCAGGGAGGCAAACTACCGCTACTAACCACGAGAGCAATTACTCATCGCCCCGGAGTATTCAGGAGAGCATCAGGCACGAGAATTATCAGAAGCTTGAGAATGTCCATCGCGTCCAGGACCACGTGTCGAGCAGCTACGTCAAATTGCAGAAGGAAAAATATGAGACGAGGCAGGAGAACATTTACGCGTCCCAGAGAGAAATACAAAAGAATGAAGGTAAAATACTTTGGGAGTTGAACTTTTTGAAAGTAAAAAAAATGATCGATTGTACATGTATAAATGGCATTTTAACAGGTCATCAAAAGCTGTCGGTGTCAAACATGATTCCAGTGGTGCAAAACGCATCATACGGTCTCCCGAAATCCGGTAGTAATAACAATCTGATACGCTACGTCGAGTACGATCAGTCTGCTGTCTACGGCGAGAGCAAGGCCGATCGTGGCTCGAAATCGTACGACGTCCACGCCGAGGAGAGCAAAGCCAACAGCGAGGATATCTACGACAGACGGAGAAGCAAGTACAGCGCAGAGTTGTATCACCACCAGTTGGAAGGGGATCGTAAGGAGAACCACGAGTTGGCACAGGCTCAGGAGTTTAAGGTCGGTGACAAAGTAACGTGCCTTAAGACGAGTATGTCGGAGCGTCCTGTGCCCCACAAAGTCAGCATCGAGTACAGGCCCAAGGATATCACGTCCAGTCTGCCACCTGAGGTCAGAATACCCGATGGCAACGTGACGGATATATCCACTCTACCCAGTGAGGATGAACTGTCCAATGGATCTGGGAACGTGTCGCCAAGGTATGCCTGAATTTTTTTTGCAACGTGTCACGATATAGTCTTGATTCAACTCGCGCGGAAGAGCGAATAATATTTTGATGTTCGACAGACTCAGAAGAGCCAACAAGCAGCGCACGGGTAATCTGACACCGTCGAGCGCCGGGTCCCGCAATCAGAGTCCACGGCCAAAGTCCGGTGCACGAAACTCGCACAGAAACTCGGCGAACCTGACGTCCAGCACGTTGCAAGAGGATCTCATGAAGCTCATCAATCCTGATTTTATAGCGGACGATGGGCACTCTCTGATCAGTCATAACGTGAAAAATAGTCAGAACTCGGTGAACAAGATGAACCGCCACAACAATAATAACAATAACAACAATATGATCGAAGTGCAGAATCGCTGCAGGTCGCGTGAGAATCTGTGCGGCAACAGCACGTCGACTTTGGCTGTGTTGGCGAATGGAGCCCAAGAGAATGGCAATCCAGGCTCCGAGGTGATTCTGACGATGGCTAGGCCAGCGACTGTCATATCGAACGCCAGCACGGCGTCGAGTCCGGCACCCAGTGAAAACAAAATGACGAAAGAGGAAAGGTGAATAACGCATTATCTATGGGATGATTGAATTTGTTGGTTCGTGAATAAATGTGTTACAACCGGAGGACATTCTTTTTTTTACATAAATATAAACGTCAACTTTTATTGTAAGTTATTGGTCTAATTTGATTGAATTTTCATAATTAAATTCGTTCGAGGTAGGACATCGAATGTGGTCAAGGGACCTTTAAACCCATTTGAAATATATGTGGAATGTAAGTTGTAAAGATTTTCGATCTCTTGCCTCGGACACATTATTGATAGAGTGTCGGATTTTTTAACAAATAACCAGTTTAATGAATAGAGTTCTTGAGAGCTTTAAACAATCAGTTGTAATTTTGGTATCAAAATGATTATTAATATTCAGTTGTAATTAATGATTAAAAGTACTAATCTAGACAATTGTGTGTAATTTTTTTTTTTTTTTTTTTAATTGATCTTCAGATTTATTGTTTGATTGTACTATTTTTTTTTTTTAACATCAATTTAAAATTAAATACATATTTACTCTCTACTATTTGCACTACCGCTAATACACACACCATTGAATTAAATTTACTAAAAATCATAACAACTTTGTATTGTTAAATAAAGTATAAAGATAAAAACGTGGATCATTACTTACATGCATTTTATTAAATTAATCATCAAACGTCCAATAAGAAATATCTTTATTTCCTTTTTTTCTCCAACTCCTAGTGAAAATAATCAAGCCTAACTTATTAGAGATATCAAATTAGTTATTAGCTTGTGAGCACTTGAATAGATTTTTTACTGGTATTTAAAAAAAAATTAGATCATGAGATAATAAAACAAAATTTTGTTGAAAACATGTTTGTTTACCGAGCTTATCTAAACTTGATATTTTAACACACTTAACATTCGTCATGTTAATTGAAATATTTCAGACTGTCGCCACGAGTGACGAAAACTCCTCAACAAATAATGAAGTCGGCAAGTAATCTGATGAACAAAAATGTAAAAAATACGGCTGAGGCAGATATCGATTCTTGGAAAGGGAATCACCATGACGAATCGAATAATCGGTCAAAACATGATCAAGATTGGTCCTGCGATAGAGTAACGGAAGGATTAAGCACAATACCGTAAGTGTCATCTTCTGATTGAAAAATTTACACAACCACTGTCCTCGTACTAGGTAGCAGATAAAAAAAAATTTGTTTTTTTTTTTCATCTTTTTTCAGAACGTCGGTGACAGATCTTCAGAGTCATGTTTCGAATCTAGAGTTGAGAATGGCACGCGAAACACGGCGCAGACTTTCACTGGAGGATGAAGTGCGCCGCTTGAGGGACGAAAATCGTCGACTGCTGGACGAAAACAACGCAGCTACGCAACACATAAAACGCTTCACCGAGTGGTTCATGATTTACTACCATTGACTTTTTTTTTTGTTTCTCTGATAAAATTTATCATTAAGGATAAAAATTTATTGATTAATTTTTACGATTCGAGCGGAATTTTAAATTTTAACTTAAAAATACACATAGGAATATCATGAATATTTTTTGTATGAAAGTTTTGGTCTCCCTCTTTAGCACGTTAATTTTATCATCTAGAAATATTTTCTTTATACGATTTGGCATTGACATTGTTATTTTTAACTTTATCTCACGAAATTCATTCACATTAAACTTGTAGAACTAGTTGCTTTGTCGAGGAGATTTTTTTTTTTTTTCAATGTGTGTAAATGCAGTATTAATGTCAATTTCCATAAATTCGTGTGAACGTAAAAAAAAAAAATTGTAAAAATATGGTAAGAAAATGAATTTGTTGCTATTGTTTGAAAGAAATTGAAGTGTACAGCGTTACCACCGTAAGTTAGGATTTTTTAATAAAATAAAAAAAAATAAGAGAATGCTATGTTGCAAATCGAAAAGACAAAAACGGTTGTTAGCTAATACTGATTACAAATGGATTATATTATATACATAGATTATATAAAGGAAAAAAATGACCAAATATTACCTGTACTTCTTAAGCTACTACTTTAAACTTAAGCTGTAACTGTTCTGTAATTTATTACACGATTATAATACATAAGTACGTCATAGCGAAAAAAGAAAATTGTACGACACGGCAATAAAAAAAATATTATTGATAACATTTTGAGATTATTTTTAATGATAATGTCCTTACCTCATTCAAACATTTTTGAACTTTGGCACCTTTACATTTATTTTTGACAATGAGAAGAAGGAAATCTATAACTTCTGAAAGACATCCAAACGTAGGTTTTACAGGCTAAACTATGTAAAGGGTATTATTGTTTAAAACGAGAGTTAAAATAGGAAGAAGGAAGGAACAATATTTTACACATACTCATATAGTTAAAATAAACATTACCTTGCATCAGGAAGGTAAAAGTGACAAAAATGATGGTCACAGTCGCTACTACAGAATACCCGGCCACCGACCGGAAGTCAACAGATGCCCCCTACGGAATCAAGTTAAGTTCATCATTTGGCTAAGTTACGTAATAATCATTTGTGTCATTAGCCATATTAAGTGATGCTCTTATAAACTGTATACATTTTATACACAACGTGGCATTTTCTTTACATGTCATATCGACATGTGGCAGTTAGGAAATCCCGAAATCACTAAGATGCCCAGGTTCGTTTGTCTGCTTATGGTAGCATAGATTATTATTCTCAATTTGTTGATACCATTTTTCTTATAACGATGTGTTGAACAATTTTGATATGGTATACGTATGTATAAGAGCACCGAATCAGAGGTAATTAAAGTTCATTGTGATATATCATCTATATCGGTGACGCAGGGACAACTGTACCTGAGGAGCACCGGACCACCAGACAAGTGTCGCTAAAAGTTCCTTATATACTAATCAATACAATATTTCGCCACTTGCGAAAAACGCTTTGGCCAATGTTACACCGTAATATTAACATGCAAAAAATGAATTAATCTATGTATAAAATATACCAGCAAGTAAAGCAAAAGGAACTATACAATTTACATACTTCTAATTTTACTATATGTTTATTTATTGCTCTGCAAAAGCATTCAAACATGCATTTGTTGTAAAAAATGACGGATGGTGTCCATCTGGTGGTCAAAGATTCAAGCTTCATGTTTGGTTGATGATGACAATGCTACATGCACCCAAATTGCTTAGTGCCAGTTGTTACGTATTATGAACTAAAACATCGAATTTTTCATGTACAGTTAACACAATCCTGTTTATGCCGAAATTGATAACTTACTACTGTAATTGTTACTTGTAATGTTTCTCTTATTTAATGGTGCATTGGGCACGTAGAGGTTAATGTTGTGCTGTCCAAGTTGATGGCTCGCAGCTATGGCTGGAGCTCCCATAATGGCAGTTAACTTTTTTAGAAGGCATTTTTCGTTATCAATTATCAAGTACTATTTGATGAAAGGTTGAAGAAGAAACGTTTTGATCATAAAAAAAAAAAAAGAGAGAAAAAAGTAATGTATCATGACAAATGTTCAAAATGTAAGATCTCAATGCTTCGTATTCATAATACTCTGACTAAAATTATACAACAAAAAACACAAATGAATTTGCAGGTTATGAATAAAGGAAACCTATGAATAAAATAGTTTATTACAATCTACAAAAAAACAAAACATCATTTTCAAGATGTCTTAAAAAATCACTATTTTGTCAGTCAACAATATGTAGCTGCTTCCATAATCTACCCTCTTAAAAGTCCTTCTGGAATTTTCTTTAAATATAAAAAATGCTTACAGTTACCATTTGATTATGGCTTCTTTGTTGTTAAGATCTTTTGTAACATACACACATATATACCAATAATATGTATTAATTTCTTTCATTTATCTGCGCCTTCTGCAGTTCTTAGTTATTTTTATAAAATTTAGCGACATAACTTTTTTCGAAAGACATATGTCTGTGCTAATCATTTAAAACAAAATTTGGCTTTTCTTAAACACAAATTTAATTATAACATGATATTTGTAGTCTAATTATACTTGTCTGCAGTTTTGCCTAAGTAGGTACACACATTGTTATACTTACAGAATAAAGATGTTTACCTTTTTTTCAAGAGCTATACATTATATATAGTTGTTTAAATCATAATATCCGCTTTAGAAGCGTTTTTGCATGTTCTGGTATACCCATATTAAAACAGCTTTTATAATGATTTGTAGTAACTTTTATTGTTACTATAAATCATTATAAAAGCTGTTTTGTGCAATACTTGTATTACTTTGTCTGACTTGATGTTATCCTTATGCTTGAACTTTTACAAAATTCTTCAGCCTTCATTGTAATACTTTAGAAGTAATTTTTATGTAAATAATTAATTTCAACTGTGGGAATTCACAAACGTCTTAATTAACGTTAGAAGTCAATTAAAAAATTTATTTCGTAATTCTATTAAAATCCTTATATGCATTAACATTTTCAGTCAAGTCTTAAGTCCAGGACCAGTGTGTTGAAAACTTATTACATTTAGAAATACAAATAGTATAACAATTTTAATGTAACAAAGTTTATACAAGTAGTACGAATGTCATAAGATAAGCAATTCTTTTAATTTTATCATTCGTCAACTTTCTTCAAAGAGATCATTATGATTTAATGTACAGTTGCTTGAGTGAACTTAATAATTCTATAATAATTTTTATGAATTTTTTTATTTAAATTTCTTTTTTTTTTGTTAATTCGATCAGTACTGCTTAAGGTGACAAGTAAAAACAGGATTGATATTTTGTAATGATAAGAAATATAAGAATAAGACATACTTATATGCGGATAAAGTGTGATGTATACACTATTTTAATGAGTAACGTTTTAATACATGATACTTTACAGTACACATTATTTATTTTACCGTCATGCCTAAACTTTCTGAACCAAATAAAATTGAGTTATTTTCTTTCCTCTTTTATTTATGTTAATTGTAGGAACAATCGAATTTCTTGCGCAAAACTTTTTACTCACGAATCATTTCAATAAATTAGTTTTCGCAAATACTGTATTATATGTCTTTTATAAATCTTATGAATGTAATACATTTTATTTAGCGAGACGCAACAAACAATTTCCATAGTATGATTCGTTTTTATTTTATTTTTTTTATTTTTCAAGGACACGACTACTCACTCGCAATTATTTGTTCATCAATTTACATGCTTCCATATTGAACATCTTAATTTAAAAACATTTTCTTCAACCATTCACTAATTAAGAGAATCAAGTAGTTAAGATTCATGTGACAACTGCTAATTATTATTTTTTTACTTTTTTTAAATTTTTTTTCTATTTTTACACATTACAAAAATACTGATTTTTCTACAATAATCGCTTTTGTTCTATGTCTACGCTAAAGCTCTTCCTGTTCTTTAATCGCAACGCAAATTACGTTTATAAAAAATTTTAAAACTTATACACTAAAGAGTCGTGAATATATTATACTTTTTTCTCAATTNAATTTCTCTCAATTGTTTAAGTTACACGATTAAAACTAATAAAACAATTTTTAATACACACTAAAAATAAATCTGTGAACGACTAATTTTGAACTGTCAAGGTTTTTATATTAAAATAAATATAATTATTTTTGTAAAGTTTTTTAAACTCAAGCATAGAAATTCTCAAATATTATTAATGTTAACAAAGAGTTAACTTCTAACGTACTTAAAAATTAATATTAGTTGAACCAATAACCCACACGCAAATACAAAATGTTTTCTCACACATCAAATGAATTTTCTCAAGCAATTAGACATCGCATGTAATTGATTAATTTATAGTATATTCAATTTACTTAGCAATGATTTTACAATGGAATATTTAGAAAAAATAAAAGTAAAATTAAATTAGGTACGAAGAGATTAGCGTCGTACAGTTGTATCGATTTATATTTTTCATTATAAATCGTGTAGCGATTTTTCTAATTTCTTTTCTTTTATCGTTGATAATAATTATGGCAAGACAATCAAAGGAGATATTAATATTCTCCAAATAGAGGCAACGAGCGCATAATCACAATTTGATCAATTTATCGGGCACGCGTGGTTTTTACTACACAATTAAGATTCCAAAATATGTGTAGATATTATATTAGTCGATAATCGGAGCACAAATATCCATAACTTTTTCAAGATCGTCATTTACAGATATACAATATTTTTCGTAAATTAATGTATTATTGTTATATTATCATTATTTACAAAGAAAGTTATTTTTTACAATTTAATGAGTCTAAGCTTAAATATCTACAACTATGTTAAATATACTTTGAAACATTAAATGACTATATCATGCACTGCATGAATTAATTGTTAATTTCAGTTTATTTACTTATGCATGTATATTTAAGTCAGACACTTTATTTAAATATTGTTTAAAGCACATTAAAATATCTCGAGTAAACTTAATGTAATTTAAGTTAACACATATTTTGATTTTCAAAATGATCTATACAAAGGCCACTAAAATATACTGTCATATTATAAATTATAATTCATCACAATTTTTCTTTATAGGTACACTTTTACAGTTACAGTTACAGTTATAATTTTGCTGCGAAGTTAAAATAAATTGGTCTTGAAAATAGTTAGATTTGTGCTTCGATTTAAACAATTTTTTTGTTAGATGTTCCAAAGCCCTTAATGAAACATAACAAATTTTATGGCTTTAATGTGACGCGAAAGAAGGTCGAAAATGTTCTGCACCAAGGAAAGATAATAAGAGAAACTGTTAAAACTGGAAAATCATTCAGAGCCAACAATGAAAATGTTGTTCAATACTTGGATTTATATTTCAACATTTCTCTTTAAAATCATATATTTTCTATAGGAGTCACGTCACATATCAATTTAATATCTTTATAACTGTTAATAGTTTTTATATGTACATATATAGTATATTCAGCATCACAGTATGATAACATTTTTATATCGTTTGACTTTTGCGTACTCGTCAATAATATACACTCAGATCGTGTTTTATTCTCGAAAATTTACACATTCTTTCATTCCAGATTCTCACTCAATATATTTTTAATTTTTATTTTGAAATATTATTTTGAACTGTATAAACTCTTTGTATTACGTATCATTCTACTTAATTTCCTCATCCCAAACACTCATTCATTTTTAATCTAAAACTCGATAATATTCTGCAGTAACAATTCATCAAAAACATCGACGATATTGATTCTTATAATTTGGCTGCGGATATTTTTTTTTTAACGACAAGGTGCATTTAACGTACTTATTTTGTTTGATGTAACAAAAAACTGCACAAAATCATGTAAAAAATTATTAAAATTATAAATGTGGCAAGTTCTGTGAATGAATAATAAGTATGCGTGGATTATTTTTAAAGCAATCAGTCATAAGTATATAAATTTGATTTTAAAACTATTTTATAATAGATAGAGAAAATAACGTTACAAATGAAATCTCCAAGTTTTTATGCGTATAGGTATTTCACAATTAAAATCACTTGAAATTTAAAACAATTGAAGTGGCCTGATAATGAAACTTTTTGGATAGTAAAAAATTTATCAAATGGCTTACGGCATTTTAAAACTTTGTATTTTACAATTGTTAATTATTTATCAAAATGACGACAATAATTTGATTTCAAATTAAAATATTTTGAGTACAAAATTTATACTCAAAATTTACTATAGTAAAGGATAAATAAATAAATAACTACAAAAATAAGCAAGCATTTTATGCTTAACACTAATTCATCATTAAAAATCAGCATCTCCCAATTAGACCGCGGAATGTTGTGGTTCACTAATTAGATTTAAAAAGCATTTATCTCATCTAAACGATATTTCTCAATACATGTAACTATTTAAAATACCAAGTGCAATTTTCACAATTGCTAATGATAGTGCGAAAAAAATATACATATATATCCAGAGGAAAAACTTCTTAATAAATTAGCAAAAGTGCAACAAGACAATAGGCGCAGATTTATGTAATATAATCATAAAAATATATTTATTTGCGTGAAACGCAAAATTAATGTGTGTACATGTCAGTCTCAATCAAGTCCATGCATGCTGAATGAAGATCCAAGTAAAATATTTACCGAAAAAATCATCCAAATATACAATGAAAGATTTAATATTTTCAATCTTTGTATCAAACATAATTGGAGACCCTTTCATTTATAATTTTGCACTTCCAATCACTTAAATCTTTGCTCAACAAGTATTTTGGAAGCAATACATTAAATTATATAAATTTAATTTAAAAAAATAATAATAATAAGCACGAATGCCCGCAGTGGTTGACTACAATATAAGGTACATTTATTTTTGTACTCTTCTACGAATTTTTTGTTGCTCAGCAAATAGATTCGAACATTTATTCTATAAGAATAACATCTTAACGAAATCGCTACAACAGTTCTCACCACGTTATTGTTTTTTTACTGTAAAAATCCAATACCATGTTCAAAGACCGTCCTTTAAAAAAAATCTTGTTCAATTTTCTTCCAAAAATTGAAAATGTACACAATTAAAAGAAGTTTAAATTTGAAAAAAATGTATGTATAAAAAATCAAAATCTGTTAACTTTTACCGTAATGTAAGCTATTGCAGTATTATTAAGTAATTTATTTTTTAAAGGCAAGTCTTTTACGTATTGTTACAACCCATGCACGATGCTTTACCGACGCATCGCCCACGAGACAATGTAGCCGCAGAGCCTGATAGGCTCTTTGGCTTTGGCATCAGCTATTCTCTTCTCGTTCTCTTGGGCCTGTGCCCAGCACTAGTGACGAAATCTTCGTTACCACTTTTGTGCTTCTTTCCTACCTGTACTTGACTCTGCGCCGTCAGCTGTAGCGACACCGCATGCGTGTTCAGCTTTTCTGCCAAGAGCAAGTCCTTTAAGCCCTTCATCTTCTGGCTGTATAGTATGATTCTTGGACTCTCGTTCTCGTCTATGTCCAGCTCGAGGTCCATTTCGCTGAGACCATCGTCTATACTGTCATGTGAGGTTGAAGGTGTTGAGATGCCACAAACAGATGAAGTAGAAGTCATCAGTGGTAGGTCAAACATTGTGTCTACCGGGGCAACAAATGGCTCGCCATCACCTTGCAGTAGGTAATCTCTGTTTAGGATTTTTTCACCACAGGCCGCAGCTAGTGCTTGGATGCTTGGATGCATAGGCTCTGTGTTGCCAGGTACTTTGGATTCGAGACTTTTGATGAGGTCGCTTGTCGTGCTATACCTCTCCTGTTGATGAATTTAAATTATTAATTACATTTCGTTGATATAGTGATAAAAAATTTCACTTAGTTCTTACTAACCTTGGTTTTGCATTCATTATTGTTGTTGTTATTATTGTTGTTTAATGATTCATCAGAGGTTCCTTCAGACAACTTGTCCTCCTCGTAACAGTCTATTACTACTTGAGCTCGAATACTTGCATCAAATTTCGAAATAGTGTTGACAAGAGGCCTTGCCCAACCAATGTGCAAAACTGGCGTGTTTGCTCCTTCCTCCCATTGACAGATTCCATCATAAAATCGCAAGAGGTAACCAAAACAACGTGGCTGTCTTAGTAGATGTTCATCTGCTCTCACTGTGTGTGGTATTAACTCGTTGGCAATTTCAAGAAGTTCTTTATAAATCTCGCCGTCGTCTCGAGAAAAGTTGTATCTGTATGAATAATTAAAGATTTTTAATTTTTTTTTCTTTCATCTTGAGCTATCTACCATTGATTGGAATGAAAATAATTGCATACTTTCTGAGAGCATCAGCTGCATCAGCCCATGAAGCAAGAGCATTCACATGTAAACCATGTCTGTAGAGATATCCTCCCAAATATGTGTAAGGATAAACATGTGAATTGTCATAATACTTTCTTGCTGACTGAACGGCTTCCTACAGTCGTAATCAAAGTTAAGGCATATTCTAACACCAAATGTTTGTTAGGTAAATTGAAAAAAAAAAAATTTTATACCTGGAAAAGATGAATTGCTGGACACCTTCCTGGAGTAGGTGCAGCTTCTTCCAGTTCTCCAAGATTTCCAAGACCCATAGGATATTTTGTTAAATGACCCAAATCGTATAGAAGCCACAACAATTCTTGCTGTAATAAAGCAACTTCCACAGCATCCGATGTAGCACTGAAACTAGGGTTTATAGCAGAGACTATTGTTGCCACTTCCATAGCCCTGTCACACACAACTGCATGTCCATTCACGTAAACCCACGATTTTGATGCCACACCAGAATCAACGGGCTGTCCCCGTTTGTCTTCATTTCCCTTTCCTATAATACATATAAATTGTCGATTACTCAAATCATTGATAAAACGAACATGAAAATTATTTTTAAAAACTATTCACCATGCCAGGTCACTTCTACAGTTTCATCACCGTTTTCACCAAAAACAACCCAAGCATGATCCTCCGACAATGCCAGATGCACATCATTGAAGCCCAGAATCTGACATCCAGCAACAACAGCAAAAGCTACACCAAAACAGTCCAGCTTGTTGCATGTCAAATAACAATACAGACTCTGCAGATGTGCTCTATCCTTGTAATAACTTCTCGACAGAGAGTTCCAAATGACATCAGACACTCTTTTCACCAATTCTCTTGTCGCGTATTTAGTATTGTAAACTTTGAGGTCCACAGAATTCTTTATAACCGAACTGAACTTTGAGTACATCGTTTCGATCATACCGAGCTCCACAGGTGGGAGTTTTGGCTCGTCATAGGCAGCTGCTTCCTCGGTGACAAAGTTTCGGTTGCATGTCAGGGTGTTCTCTACAGCCCCAACGAGAATGGAGAGCAGAGCTAGATCTGGCTCAGCACAGGTCTCCAACTGGTTTTGAAAAATCTGCACGACAGAGGATATGTTGGTGATGGGAAAGACCCCCTTGTCCTCTTCTAGTAGACTAACCATGATGCTGTGTCAGATGGGACTGGGCAGAGGCTAATTTGCATTCCTCATGAAACTAAAAATAAACAAAACAAACATACATTAACACAACACGTATTGGACTTTGATTAACATTTAAAATTGATTCACATATTGTCACTGATCGAAACAACTTTGGCCATCAACAATATGACTTCAAAATTCGATTGGCGACCAAGAGAAATCGGTATTACGCACGCAACCAATGCAAAAAAAAAAAAAAATCGTCAACAAAGGAAAAAAAAACACGAATGACCCCCATGTAATACACAAGAGCGCAACTTTCGCTTAAGTCCGCAAAAGAGACAGGCCATACTACATATAGGTATATGTACCTTTTGAAAGTACATATAATAATAAACACACCGCCGCCTCTGCAAAAATTTCACTCGAAACTTCTCTCTTTTCTTTCTCCGCGCAATCAAAAACTCGCACTGAAATCTCAAGCACAAATAAAATAAAAAGTCGTCGCACGCGCAATAAAAGGGCCCCATAAGGGCCGCGGCAAGTACAAGGGCACCGAGTATCTTTCGTCTGCTGCGGTGAATTCGTTCTGCTGTATAATATAGCCGCTTTGCGAATCAAAACATTCTATTAATCGTCAGTTATTAGGTTTGATACAGTAAGTATACCGTCCACCATATACGTACAATTGGTTAATAATCGTGTTTTTCGACGTGTTCTTTTATTATAGAGTCGCAGTTGCGTCTTGTGCGTGCGATCACGAGTGAAGTACATAAGAGGAAGTAAGACACCGGCTGCTAGTCATTTTCCTTGATGATGTACTTATATACCTATTTTTGTTTAAAACCTTAGAGAATATATATTCTCTAAGTTTAAAACAGATGCACATATGTGCAGCATCTCCATCGATACATATATCACATTCAAGTATACACGCATTTGGGTGTATTACAAAGTAAATCTGCAATTATATATACATATATATATATACAATAAGCTATACTTATCGACCTAGTTATAAGGTTTGTTCATTTATCCACCTTGGAGAGCTCCGTATCGGTATACTCACCGCTTATAACTGATGTTTGTAAACAATGAGCAGCTATAGTGAGTATACCTATATATAGTATAAAGATATCTCGGAGGCCTCCGAGTGCTGCGACAAAGAACTCGTGTTCATTTATGGATCGCTCGGAGGCCTCGGAACGCTCCAAGGTGGATAATTGAACAAACCTATTATCACGACGTCTTCGGCGAGGCTCTCGACACATATATCACTCTTCGATTGACAGCTCAGCTCTGGTCTGTCATAATTATTAGGTCTTTGATCCCTTATTGGCTTTCACCTGAATAAGTATATGTATTTTACGGTCAAAGGTATTCATATCATCTGAGATAGGTGTAATATTGGTGCAATATGGAAAATAGGATAGGAGAGAAGTAATATTATGCGTATGTTTTCCTCTCGACTCTGGGCGGGCTCTCTCTCTCTCCGCGCGCACACGCGTATTTTATCCGCACGTAACGACGTTCCGCACTGATCTGCGCGAGAGATGTGTTTTCTCGATACATAAACGCGCTCTCTGCTCTGCTCAGTCTGCTTGTCTGCTCCCGCTCTCTTTTTTTACGGAAGCCCGGTCTGCCCGGTCACGACATCTGCATAAAAACGCATACTTGCGCACGCACAAGCACAAGTACGAGTGCAAAAAGTTACGTAGGTCGTGGTAACGCCACATGGTAAAAGATAAATTGTAAATTTGCCGCAAACAGCACAGAAAATTTTATCTTTTTATTGTCTATCCACACAATAAGTTGCGGCTGGTTTATAAATGATTACATGGCTCTACTGTAAATTTTAATAATTATTTGGATCAGCGCCATCTAGCGTTAGGGATTTTTGAACTAAAAAGTGGCCCTAAACTTTTGACCCACAGCATTAGCTCGTAGAGCCATTTAGCCAATTATAAACCAGCCGCAACTCATATTGTAGCTATAAAATGAAAAAATAACGATACATGTGTTTNTTATAGTAATAATTATTTGGATCAGCGCCATCTAGCGTTAGGGATTTTTGAACTAAAAAGTAGCCCTAAACTTTTGACCCACAGCATTAGCTCGTAGAGCCATTTAGCCAATTATAAACCAGCCGCAACTCATATTGTAGCTATAAAATGAAAAAATAACGATACATGTGTTTTTGGCGGCAAGTTAACAATCTATTTTTTACCAAAAAATCGACTTCCTATGTATTTATACTTTTGAAGATAAATTTTCGAGTAAAAGATAGATTGTTAACCTGCCGCCAAAAACACATGTATCGTTATTTTTTCATTTTATAGCTACAATATGAGTTGCGGCTGGTTTATAATTGGCTAAATGGCTCTACGAGCTAATGCTGTGGGTCAAAAGTTTAGGGCTACTTTTTAGTTCAAAAATCCCTAACGCTAGATGGCGCTGATCCAAATAATTATTACTATAACTTATGGTAGAGCCATTTAATCAATTATAAACCAGCCGCAACTGATGTCATAGAAATAAAATATAAAATAAACGTTGCCTGAATTATTTGCGGCAAGTTTACAATTTATCTCTTATCCGAAAATCCACCTCCAAAAGTATAGATATTCTACTTATATGATTTAATAAAATCGACCATATGGCACTACTTAGTAGTGATTATACTATAATTAGTACACATAACTTCACGTATATCTTACACCGTGCTATCTTTACCCATAGAGATAAGAATGATAAAATCAGAGGCTGTAATCTGCAAATGCTGCCAGCAGTTAAGTTAAGTAGGTACGTAGGTCGTGGTAACGCCGCATGGTCGGGCGCTAGCGTCAACCTGTACCTATGGGTATTGGGTATATACTAACCGTCGTGACATGTCGGTGGGTTCCGCATGTCAACACTCCGAAACAAACTCCGAAATATCGGGTGGTATGAGAGTGAAAACAGCAAAAAATATCAAAGTTTGTTATCCATCGGAGTGCGCGGGCAATTTTTTTACCCGCGCGCGCGCTAAGCTCTTCCTCTCCTAACTATAGTACCATCCGCAGCTGCTCATCTGATCTATAAAGTAGTACCGGTATCATTACATTCACCAAGTTATACATATATTGTCATAGGTAAGTATACGTATGCTTTTCCTTCATTATCGTGGTATAAGAGTGCTGTCTGTCAATCACACACTCCAAGTATAGTAGCAGTATTTTATTTGACCTCGTATTTGACGCTGCTGTAATAGGCAACATATAACTTATTAATTGTATTATAATTTCACTGCTTTTTCATTTATATGTGTTAGGTTGTTGCAAGGTAAGATGCCCATGGATCAACACGAGATCATCCTGTCAAGAGCATCAAATACTCTACCACAAGCTGTCAGTACCAATGATCATCTTGATGAAACACTATAGATTTCCTGATTGTAATAAAAACATAAGATTTGGACACTGATTTTGAATACAACATATTCAGTAGTACGTATTAAAAAAATGTGAATATTTGAATAAAAATTCATTATTACTAAGCGTAAAACATAAACAAACAACAGATAATCATTATTAATTACTAATTTTACAGGATATATATACCGAAACTTTTTAACTTCAAAGGAAGTAAGACGTCAATATCAAAGTTGATTGGGAAATTCTTTTTCGGTCAATGAGCAGGACAAATGATATTACTCGACGAAGCGGTACCTATTATTTCTTATCAGTGCCCGTACAAGTATTACTTTTCATTGTCCTCTGCTCTAATAATTTTGCGTACCAGTAACAGTTGTTAGGTACATCTACTTTGCGCGTCAAAGGGAGCACAGAGGCGTGTAAGAAATCGACGCTTGAGGTGTAGGTACGAAATTGTATTAATTCAACGCGAGCGTGTGCCCTCGAAAATATATGCGCGCTTCTGCCCTGTACCTGCAGTACCTATACACCGCAGGATTCGCAATTTCGCAATGAGGCGCAAGTTCTTGTGCATCAGGTCTCTCTCTCTCGCGCGGGCATACACACACACACGCACGCCGCACACCGATGCATATTACTCGACTTGACTCTCGAATGCGGGTAAAATTAACCGGCTCCGCAGAATGAAGAAGAAGGAGACGAAGAAGTGTAAGGGAACCAGGTGCTCGTTTGCCGCCTGTTTACTGAAACGGTCATCTTTCTCTCGCTCTCTCAACTTGCTTGCTTGCTTCTTATATGTGTGCTTGCTACCGCGTGTTTTTTACCACTCTTATGGGAACATACTTACGTGTATAGCTCGTATGTACATCTGTCTCTATCTCCTTGTTGCGGGAATACGGGTTTTTCCATGCCAGGCTCTCTTTATCCCTCGCTCTCTCTCTCTCTCTCTCTCTCTCTCTCTCTCGCGCCATACCTGGACCTTGATTTTTTAATTGGGAGGAATTCAAGGCGCTCTTTTCTTATACCTCTGTACCTACTCTCTCGCGGCTCTCTCTTTTGTACGTTTATAACGCGCTCAATTTTGAACTCCGTGTTCAGATCTGTACGTGTATAAAGTGTATACGCTTAGGCTGGAACGTATAGTTTATGGAGCCATGTGACTATGGACCATGTGGTGTCGAAACCTGACGAAACAGCGCGCAATAGATGTATACTTTTACGGTGGCACGACGCGCCCCGGGAACATAAAATTCATTTGCTTTTTTATGAATGAAACCTCGCCCGAAACAAATCGACACTCGCGAGATCGGTAACTGCGAGTCTGTCTCGTTAATTGTTTAACAGTGCGACTTGTCACTATTGCGCTCCGAAACGCAAATTTCGGAGCAAAGGCAGCACTCGATCTCTTTCGATGGTATACACGAGTACAAATTTTTTGTTGTTGCAATTTTCACAAAATTAATTAATCAATTGCGATTGTCAGTATTAACGATCGGCAAATTTATTCGCGACACTGGCTTTGACAAATGCTTGAAGAAAATACAAAGTCAATTGTTTGTTACAATTGTAAAAAGAACTTACGGAAGCGGCAATCAATTTTCCAACTCCAGTGCTCCACGTTTGGCTCGCTGACAGACAGCAACAACAAGAATAGCAAAAAAGTCAACGCACTGAGTATCGATGAAAAATAATCAAAAACCAATAACAGCACATCCCGATTATTTTATCCAGCAATAAGTATAGGTGTATAGGTACTCGATGATAATAAAACGGAGCCTTGGAGGCGCGAGAGATGCAAAGACGCAGTTGGCCGACATACGATTGGGAGCCGAGTAAACGCGCAAACGAGACAAAAGGTGTCCCATCACGAGGAGGAGCGCGTGTAGGTATATATGTTATGTACGCGGCGGTTTTCTCTCTCTCTCTCCGTTTCTCTCTCATTCGCGCGCCCATGTATATGTGTACAAATAAACCGCGCGTGGTGTGTGTATGTGTGTGTGTGTGCATTCGGAGCACCAGCTCGCTCGGCGGCGGCCTCGTTATGATCGTCGCGTCGTCGCTTTTCACGGGCGACGCGCGCAGATTTTTCGCCGCCGTGCAATACCAATATAAGTACCATACGTGCGTTGCAAGAAGGAAGAGCTAGCACACTATATGATAACAATAATGACAATAGTATCAAGGAGAAGAAGCTGAAAGGGTTGATGGGGAGGGAGGTCGTATCATCGCACACGTACGGATCGAGCCTTGATCGAGATCGGCTACAACCGCATCATCACCCAACGTTATGGGTGCATCAGCCGCGCGTACATGTACATTGTAAACTTTGCCCTGCTCTCCTCTGGACGGTTGCTCCTGCCTCTTTTTTTTTTTTTTTTTTTTTTTTTCTTTTTTTTTTATAATTTCATTTCCCAACGGGCGCGCGTATCCTGCGCGGCCCCTCCGACCGGGTTGCTGCAGCGTGATACTTCCTTCTCTCCCTTTCTCAGTTCCCGGGCGGGCGGCCTCGCTCTTTCCCTCCTTCTCTCATTTGGCCTCGACAATTCTAGAATCCGCGCGTCGATTGTGTGCATGTGCGCCTCTCCGCACCATATAATATACCTTTATTGCATCCCCCACGTATTATAGGTACTGCATGTACTATATATATCGACGTGTTGTAGTTACTCGCACGTTCATCAATAGCACATAAATATTATATTATGTACAATGCGCACATTGGGACGACCTATACGACTATAGTCCTGATGTATATTATGCGATTATGCGGCCCCTTTTGTGTATAATATATACATATATGATACGCTTGCGCTCTCGTTAACGCTCGTTATCGAGCATTCCGCCCTTCGTTATTTTCCATCCCCCTCCCCCGCCACCCCGTTTGTTGTACAGAGGGTGTCGTGCTTTAGATGGAATCGTGGCAATGATATGCGGTGTACATATACAAAAGGATGTTATATATATATGTATATAGACACGAGGGTGCGGGCGACTCGTACACATAGTAAATCCCTCCTTGTCTCTGCGAGAGTTTGTTTGCATTTGACGAGCTGCTGCTGCAGAGGAGAGCCGCGGGATTATTGATTTACACACTGGCGTAGGTGTGTGTAAAATGTACATATATATCGCGGAGGAGGGAAAGAGATAGGTAGGACCGCGACTTTCCGCCTCCTTCGCGAGTGGCGCGGGGAAAAAAAGGAGGAAGCCATGGGGGAGAAGTGTTGCCGTTTTATCGGGAGAAGGGACGGAGTGGGAATTGGCTATATCTCGGTTTTCCAGGGGGTGATGCGTGTGTATGGCCGTGCCTTGCGTAATTGGGGAAAAACACCCGCAATGGGGATATACTTATGTACGTGTAACGTAAGGGAGTGCCGTCGAGGCTCCCCCGGGGCGTTTCGAGTGTATACGCGTAAGCGGAGGCTTTGTTTTAAGCATTATCCGGATGATGGGTATATTGTATGCACGGGCTCGTGCGTGACGTCGTGTATATACCGGGGGACCTTTTGTTTGCGGGTATGGTGTAGACTATCCATATGTATACGCGCTCCGGGAATCACGCTCTTTAACTGGTGACGTTTGGGCTTATTGTTTTAATTCTATTTCGCCGGGAGGGAGTGTCTTTTATCGGGATTTAAAAACTTTCCCCTCGTTCTCACCCAGTTGACACCTATACTTATATTGAACTGATCGAGCTTTCGGGGAGTGTGCCAGGGAATTTCGTTTATCTCATTGTTTGCATCGTTACTGTTTATTGGCTGTCAGGGGTGGACACGGTTTATTTTTTAAATCTTGAAAGAAAAGTATTTTCCAATGCACTTTTTATGGAAGTTGTTTTTTTTTTTTTTTTTTTTTTCATTACGATTTATAATACAACAATCGACAACAGTTTTCTTTATAAAAAAATATTGCAATTTAGTTTTGTAGAGAGCAAAGCTTACTTTGACGTAATTAAAAAATTGTTTTTTTCATTCATTTCTATTATATGAACAAATTAATGTGGCAAAGTACTCAAGTATGTAAACAAATCTTAATTATCACTCCTGAAATGGACACGAATCTCTTAAGCGAAAGCATATTGATTGACATTACTTGAGATTAAACTACTAACTACTCTCCTTTTTTGATTTAACACCTTAATATTTTTTCATCATTGATTAAGTACTTATTAGATTTTTTACATTTTATTATTCCTGTAGTACAACTAAACAATTTTTTTTTTTCAATTACTTAACTTGCATCATAATAAGCATTTGATAACTTCTCATGTTTATTCATAAGACATGAAATGGTCAAAATACATAAAAATTAAAAACAATACTTCGAACGTACACTTGACAGTGTTTTCAAATATTCGAACGTTAAGCGCGCGTCTGCGCCCGATTTCGGTATTCGATAATTCGATATCTCGATGCGATGCCATAACCTTATTTTTTTGTCGCAAGTCGAGCAAATGACAACAAATCCTAATTATTATAAAACAAATTAATAGGCTCAATTAAGTCAATTGAAGTGTCAAATTTATTGCAGGGCTTTCCCAGTGCTCTCTAACAATTGATCTTTTCACCGGTGTAGAAGAGAATCCGAGAAAAAATGAAGGTGAAAATCAACAGTAAGTATATTTGCATTTTGCTGGAAAATTTGCTTTTTATCAAATATTTAACATCAAGGTGTACCAATTTAGCATAATTTTGAAATAACTTAGTATAATGCTTCCTTGGCGATTTCTTAAAATGTACGTTTCAAGATTCCTTATGCGTTTAATTGGTTGTTATGTTCGATTGTTATTGTTGACGTCATTGCGTATTGTCAAAACAATAAAAGTTTTAGTTATAATAACAATGTATTACATCTTTCCTCTTGAATTATTGATATTTCATATAAACATTTTTCATTAGGTAATAACTTTTATGTACTTTAGCAGGATCACCGCAACATCAATTTAAAAACTAAATGTGACCCCATTAATTCTTAGTGGTTGTATAATCAAATTGGATGTATGTTCTTCTTCTGTAGTTTTTAATCCATAGCAAGTAAGATAAACAAAGCAATGTCCTTGTCTTTGACTCTGTACTGTTTGATGTCCACAGGCTGGAGAGGCGTCGCCACCTGGCGTTGGATCGCAAACGACGATAACTGCGGCATTTGCCGCATGGCCTTCGACGCGAGCTGTCCGGACTGCAAAGTACCCGGGGACGACTGCCCCTTAGGTAATTGACCGCCGCACGCTCGTAACGCTCGTTCTTTCTCCCCTCGTCCTGTTTTATTATCACATTCTCCTCGTTCTGTTCCACGTAGGTATGTCTTTTATACCTTGTAGTTGTTTTTTAATTACAAACACCAGTAGCTGCTCCTCAGATTTATCGCTAGCTCGCCGAGGATTGTCTTCCAAGGCTTTACCAACGTATAGGTGTATTAACGAGCGATTAAATTCTAGTCGATTGATTGATTCGCAAGGATTCTCATGTATACGCTTTAATACGCAGCTTTCAATTAGCGTTCGTCCATCAAAGTGAAAATTTCTCATAACAAAATGTAATGAAGTTTTACCATCCCTGACTAATTAGACGCGCAGTAAATGGTTTTTCGTAACGTCCCGAATACTTGTTCTGTTCATTATCGCTACGTTGTGCAAGGATATACGAGATTTGTACCTGCAGAACAGATCGTCGACATCGCGTAATTCATTCGCGAGTTCGGCTGTAAATTAACGGTGCAACTAAGTAAGAAAGCTTTCTCGCACAATTAGTTTTTAAAAGATATTCCGTTTCCCGAAATTCTCTAAAAAAGCTTCCGTATCGAAAACGATAGCATTACCTAATTGAATGAAAGTAAAAGGATCCATTGATACACGCCGCACTATAGTAAATTAAATTTCTTCGCAAACCATATGCCTGTATCGAAGCTACTATAAATACCTGATTTTTTTTATTAGACCGTACCTGTGGGAAACACTTAACGTAATCAATATCCATTGAAAGGATCTACTCACAAAATAGAGAGATTTCTCAGAACTGCGTCTCAAAAGCAATAAGTTGATTGAATAAATGAAACTAATTCTTATCTGACCGACGAGGGACAAAATAAAAATCACTTTATCGGCCCAAAGCTCACTCGCGACCGAAACTCTTTTATACTGTAAAAAGCGCGCCGGGCCCGTTGACGTATACAGCCAATCGACAAACAACAACTAAGTAACAGCTCTTTTTTCTCATGCGTGAATCGTGACAAAGCGTATAACAACACACGCTCCGCATCCGTTAAAACGCAAATAGAGGAAAAAAAGACGAAAGAAACAAAAGGTGGACGAGTATGTATAAGAGCCGGCCGGGAGGGGTCGAGGGTCGAGGGGGTGAAACAAAAATTCGAAGAAACAGACCGCTGCACGCAACAACATCTGCCGGTTTTCGAAGGGTCCGCTACGGTACCGGCGCGCATCTGCGCAGTGTACACGGTACCTCCCTTGTATCATATATAGTATAGCTGCCAGGGCGAGGGGCGAGGGTGGTGCTCCTACTGCTCCCTTTCACGTGGAGCTTACGTGTGTCGTATATGCACGCACAGGCCGGTGGGTACACATAGAGTGTACACAGGTAGGGTATCGGGTGCGCGTGGTTATTATCGATCGGCGCGCGGGGGATTGTTTTGGCCTCACCCTTCGCGCTACCCTACTGCTCTCCTCCCTCTCTTTCCCAACCACCCTCTACCTACTATATACTCTTTGTACCCGGTACCTCTTCGCGCGCGTGTGTGTCAGTTCCACGGCGTGCGAAAAGAGCTGCTGGCGCTCCAGCGTCGCGGAGTAAAGTATATACAATTATTAATAAATAATTGCTTGAAAAAAGAAAACGAAGGGAGGGAGTATGCCATGAGGACGCGGTTTTTGTGATTTCCCGGTCCTTGTGCGCCGGTGGACCCGGTGATTGTGTGGCTCTACGATGTGCCCTCGGAGTGCATTGGTGTGGGCTGTGCGCTGCTCGATGGCCTCGCTAAATTCGCATTGACCACGTATGTTTTTTTTCTCTCTATCGATTGGTTTTAGCCAATTCAATGAATATGTACATCGATTCTCTCTCTGGGTGCCTATGTATGTAACCTTTCAACGTTTCTATGTCATTTGAAGCGTTCGAGTTTGAGTTTCCTCGACATCTATACAATGTTATCTCAAATAATCGTGTCGTTTATCGAACGGTACACATTTGCTGTCACCCAATAGTTTCAAGGTCATTGTCGATCTCCCCAGCGTGGATTAAAGAAAAAGAAAAAAAAAACATAACGATTATAACACACGCAGCCGAGTGTTTTGTCTACACGATGGTATTGATGACCTAGTTTGTTGTAAGCATACCACGCGAGTAAGTATTATATGCCTCGCGAAACAAAAAAATTAAACGTCATCGCTCGAGCAGCGAATTAAGGTCGGCGAAACAAGCCTATCATTGTCACGTAACAGCAACACATACATCCCCTACCAATTGTGAATTTGAAATAATTATTAAGTAGAAGAAGAAAACATGATGTTGATGATAAAATAAAACAATTGTTCAATGATCCCAACTCTGTCCACAGTCTGGGGCAAATGCTCGCACTGCTTCCACATCCACTGCATAATGAAGTGGCTGAACTCGCAGCAGACGAGTCTCCTGTGCCCGATGTGCCGCCAGGAGTGGAAGTTCAAGGGGTAGTCCAACGCCGGAAGTCACCAGTAGCAACAATTCTCCCCTATTGCCCGTGCAACCACTCGAGAGCACAGCAACCCTCACCTCCACGATCGCCGCTCCCCAGGTGTCAGCACCTAACGCATGCTACCGCTCTTGCTTTAGAGGCCGGAGCTTTATTGGTAAGTCGAAGAATGCGCTTTTCTCTCCATCTTCTTTCCTTTCCACACGTATATTACGTTGTGTTGGGCGCTTGGCGTGAAATTTGCCGTTTTTGGCAAAATACCAACACGAATCATCGCTATTACCCTGACGTACACGAGTACACGCTCTCTCGAGTTAAGGTCTCGCGTGGCTCGTTAATTATCGGCGCGGGAGGCTGGATAAGCGCGACCTTTTTATTTTACGAACTCGGAGAAAGCGAGAAAGTCCTTCTCTTTTTTTTTTTTTTTTTTTTTTTTTTTTTTTTTTTTTTTTTTTTTTTTTTTTTTTTTT